CTGATCGTCGGTCTTCATCCGGCCACGCCAAAGCACCGCGTCACCTCGACAGGCTTTGAGCATAGCAACCAGGGACATCGCGTCTCCCCGAAAGACAATTGCATTGCGACGCTTCCAAAGCCACCAGCAGCAGAGAAGGACGAAGCTCGCAGGAGAGTTGGTGCCGACGACCGGCGACGTGTCGAAGCGATGAAGCGCACGAACCGAGCCCGCGGTGGAGGGCAGCCCGATCCTACGCCAAAATTGCACTGCGAACGGGCACCTGAAGATGAGGTGGTCAGCCGTCTCAAGCTCCGCATCGCAGCAGGGGCACCCAGCCTCCGCCGCGGTGAGGATGGTTTTACGCAGCAGCACGTCCCGCGTATGCACCCGAGACTGGGTGAGCAGCCACCCGAAGAACTTCACACGTGAGGGGGCACGGGAAGACCAAAGGAAGGAGGCAGCGGGCGCGGCCACCCCGCCGTAGTGGGAGAGAGCGTAGGCGCCCCGAGAAGAGAACCCACCGCCAGGGCCCGCACATAGCGGGACAGACCGGACGTCGGGCTCACGAAGAGGGGGGCATGCCTCCACAAGCCGTTGAACTGCCTCAAGCTCCCAGACCGCCCGCGGGGTGAGCCGGGGCACCAGCAGCGCGCGAACGCCGCGGCGGCGCCCCTCCCAGACCGTGACCTCGGGGCAGGCGGCATGAGTGAATAGGGCGGGGAAGGCCGCCCGGAGAAGCCCGCCAGGGAGCCAGTGGTCATGCCAGAAGGAGGTCGCGTGCCCATCCCCCGCCTCCATCGTGGTGAGAGCTCTATACACCGGGAGCAGCCGCAGGAGGGCCGACCAGTGCTCACCCACCAGAGGGGTGCGCCCGGCACCAAGGAGGGACCGCCCTGCCAGTTGGCCCCAGACCCAGGAGGCCCATCTCGATGGCGTGTTGGAGTGGAGGCGGTGCAGCAGTTTGAGGAGAAGGCAGTCGTTTTGCACACCCAGGGCTCGTACCCCGAGACCGCCCTCCGCCTTCGACCGGCAGACCTGATCCCATGCAACCAGGCACTGGGCGCCCGACGCTCTATCCGCCACATTCCAAAGGAACGCGCGTCGTAGGCCATCGAGCTTATGCAGGACCTTAGGCGGCAGCCGCATGGCGGCCATGGCATATGTGGGGAGCGAGTCAAGGACCGCGTTGATGAGCACCAGGCGGCCCGCGGGCGACAGAAGCCTCGCCCGCCACCCGGCAAGGTAGCGGTCGACCTTGGCGATCATCGGGGCGAAGTCCTCCAATGCAAGCTTGTCGCTGGAGAGCGGCAGCCCCAGGTAGGTCTGGGGGAAGGAGCCGACGGAGCACTCGAAGGACGCCACAACGGCCGCCTGCACCTCAGGGGCGACATGCATGGGAACCAGAGTGCTCTTGGAGAAGTTGATGACAAGCCCGGTAGCTTCGGCGAAGAGGTCGAGGACGATCCGCAGCCGGGCCGCGCCCTCGGGGGCCGCACACATGATGATAAGTGTGTCATCAGCATACTGAAGCACCACCGGGGGCGCGCCATCGACCAGAGGGTGCTGTAGTTCACCGTCGGAGCGGATCATGCGCTGGAGCACATCGGCGACCAGGAGGAAGAGGTACGGGGATATGGGGTCGCCCTGACGCAGCCCCTTGCGGACGACGAACCATCGCCCGGGCACCCCATTGAGGAGGACCGTCGCCGTGGAGGACGGGAGGATGAGGTCCATCCAGTCACACCACCTAGCGGGAAACCCCCTCACCTCCATGATCCGGCGAAGACTAGGCCAGGCGATGGAGTCGAAGGCCTTGGCGAAGTCGAGTTTGAACACCAGCGTCGGCGCCCCCCACTTCTTGCAGCATTGGATAAGTTCCACCGCGTAGATGAAATTCTCCGAGATACTTTGCCCAGGCAGGAACCCGGATTGATCATCGTCGATCAAGAGCCCAATCTGCCGTTGAAGCCGAGTGGTGAGCCCCCGACAAAGGATCTTCACGTCACCGTTCTGAAGAGAGACGGGACGGAAGTCGCCGGGGCCCGGGGTCCCCTCCTTCTTAGGAAGGAGGGCGATGAGGGCGCGGTTGATCCCGCCGAGACGCGCAGTGCCGTTGTGGACGGCGTCGAAGAAGGCGAGCAGGTCGTCGGCGACCACGCTGCAGGCGGCCTGGTAAAAGGCCGGGCCGAGCCAATCCGGCCCCGGCGTGCTGGTCCTGTCGAGAGTGAAGACAGCCTCCCGGACCTCGGAGCGTGAGAACGGCGCAACCAGCGGAGCCCCATCTACCATCGAAGCGCCTGCGTAAAGCACCGCCAGATCGAACCCCCACGACGCGCGGGGAGCCCAGCCCAGCAGGTTGGCGTAGAAGCGTCGCAGGGCGGCCTCCTTGTCGTTGTGGGAGACGAGCTCGCCCCCTCCCACCGCGAGTACCCGGATGGTGTTGCAACGACAGCGATGCGACGCACGGGCGTGGAAGTAGCCGGTATTTTCGTCCCCCTCCGCCACGGCTCGGCATTTCCCACGTTGCCTCCAGAAAGCAGCCTGGCGAGCCACCGAGTTGGCAAGGGCCAGACGGGCATCGCCGCGCAACGCCAGCTCCTCGGCCGAGAGCCGTCGGTGCTCCTCTAGGAAGTCAAACATGTCCACCAAAAACTTGCAGTTGTTATCAAAAACAGGAATGTATTTGTGGTGCCGTTTCCATACCTTGGCAGCTGACCTGATACTATTCTTCTGACGGGCAAGACGGGACGCGGCACAGGGGGACCGGGGCACACGCGACCACGCAGGCAAGACCGCGGGGAGGAAGCTAGGGTCCAGCAACCACGAGGTTTCGAAGAAGAAACGCCCCGCTTGAGGGAGGCGAGTGGAGACAGAGGCGACGAGGGGGAAGTGATCAGAAGTGGTACAGGGACGCGAGGCGAGAGAAGAGTCAGGGAAGAGCACATCCCAATGCGAGTTGAAGAAAACCCGGTCAAGCTTAGCGAGCGTGGGGGGATCCCGTTTATTCGACCAGGTGAACAACCTGTCGGACAGCGGCAGCTCGTGCCACCCCACCGTGTTGATCAAAGAGTTAAAAGTGGACGCACGTCACCCGTCAAAGCGATTATTGTTTTTTCCATGCGCCCACCGGATGAGGTTGAAG